AAATTTTATAAAGAATGTAAAGGTATCCCTGTAAGAGGCCGTGGAGGCCCATAGGGTTGTGAGATGTTGAGGTTCACACATTTTCTAGACAATCGGCTTATAGATGGCGGTAAGGTTGTCAGCCTTACGCGCCGGCCGCCTTTAACCCCAAGAATATTCCTGATACTCTTTTCTGTTAGAGGCTGAGTCGACACCAGGGCCATAGTGCGCCTGGAAGGATTAGGTAAATTGAAGGAAAAAAAGTCCCATGACCTCATAGGGATTCGATCCCGCTACCTTCCGGCTTGTAGCATAGTTCCTCAATCAACTACACTACCGCGATACATTTTTTATTATCACTAACGTCCGCGCCCTAGAACTCCGTCACCACAACCCCTACCCCAAGTTTGGGAACCAATTATTTAAATATATAGTTCGTTAAGACTCGCCACAGAATATGGATTTCGTGGAAAATTGGACTTAATCTGCATTTGCATGTATAGAACTGGTACCGCTATGAAGACTGAACGCCATATCAGACGAATATGATGCTGAAGTAGCAACCACTACACTGCAGCGACCACTGGGAGTATCTCCTGCACCACAAATGGGAATCCTACACATGGCCCTTTTCAGTAATAACAATAACAAAAAAATGAAATGTTGGTTTTGCTTTCTTTTGTTTGTAAAGTGAGGCCCTTCCCAGGCAGAACACATGTTAGACGGAACGCTCCAGTGTGTAAGAGGCTTGTCAGACGGCCTGTCGTGCTCCTTTCTTTCTACACATTGCCGCTGCTAGTTACGTATGAGTTATGACAGGTTGGGGTCCGCCCAATCATATCTTTAGTTCTTTGTACCTTTTCAGGATGATGCTTTTTTCTTTTACTGGAGGAATAGAAGCAAGCCCACTTATAAAGAAGTAGGTTTCAGCCCCCAGGAACGAGAGGGCCGTCTTCAGATGAACACTAGATCAAAGAAATAACACGTATGAATGTGTAACGAATCGAAGATTTTTGTGTAGCTTTCGTCAAAACCACTATGAAGTTTGGCGTTAAGATGTAATACTTGATGTGTGCAAAATAGTTCAGAATTTTGAAGAAAAAAAAAAATTATTTATGCTACAAGCCGGAAGGTTGCGGGGTCGAATCCCGATAAGGTGGATTTTTTTTTTCAATTTGCCTAATCTTTCCAGCCGCACTATGGCCCTGTGGTTGACTCAGCCTCTAACAGAAATATGTACCAGGAATATTCTTGGAATGTTCTTGGGGGTAAAGAGCGGCCGGCGCCTAAGTCTGACAACCTTACCGCCATCTATGAGCCGACTGTCTACAGAATGTGGAAGCCTCGATGTCTCACAACCCTATGGGCCTCTAAGGCCTGTTACAGGGATAGCTTTAATTTTTACTTTACTATCGCGTACCGCTTCAACATTCTTATAATATTAGGTGTGTAGCAGGCACGATATAACAGAAAACGGATTAAACAGTTTACTTAGTTAATGACGGTCAGTGTGATTCGTTCCCTCATTAATAATTACAAATACAGTAATTTACTAATGAAAGCGAAACTTGGCAACACTGAGCCGGTTCGCGACATTTACTTCGGCCTGTAATCCCGCCTGCTATGCTGGCTGCATCCTTCGCGAATATGGGCGCGCCATGTTGGTCTCTGTCTCCGGGCGGAGGAGAAACAAAATGAAGTAACTTCTGTAACCCTGTCATCTTCACATCTGCAAAGCTTATGTACTCGCCAAGTTTCATTTTCATCGGTAAATTATTTCGTGATTTATAGCTACTAATCCAGGGTCTCCTCTAAGTGAATTGGGATGAAACTACTTTTACCATTAATTGTGACTGTTTGGGTTACGCGCATTTGGGCAAAAGACGGGTATTAAGCTAATCCAACTTAATGGTTACAAGAAATTACATTAAGGACAAATAGCTCTAAAAAAGAAACATATATTACACCAATTATTCAACTACATGAAGCAGAGTTTTTCTTGAGAAGCTGAGAGTCACACAACTGATCAAGGAATTCTCGGCCTTAAATTGAATCCGAAAGTTTATTACGGTTTTCAAATTGCCCATTCACTGTTTCCTGTTCATCTTCACGCTGTTTCGTGTTCGGAATGTTACAGGCTCAAATCTTGGCTCCGAAGCGGCCATCCTGACAGGATCTTCGTGAGAGTCCTCAGGTCCTGCAGGAAAATGTTTGTATAACTCGAATTAGGCCAGCGCTGCTCCCTTCTACATCCTTTCTGATCCATTATTTACTAATAATCCTAACATTTATGGCTACAGCGAGGTTAAATAAAAAAAGGTAAAGCTGTCCCTGTGCTTAACTAATTAAGCACTACGTTATGAAGACGTATAGGGGAGTGGATGTATAGATCCTTATTATCTTCACCTCGGCACAAGCTGCAGGTGAGTTGTCAGCTTCATGCCCCGGCCGCTTTACCCGAGGGAAAAGAACCCAAGATACTCATTGGATAGGATGTTGAGTGGACTACAGAGCCGGTCTGGACGACGTGGAGAAGAGATAATTCTTGACCCTACCGGGACTCGGATTCCGGCCTCTCAGTCGTCCAGGCCATCGCCAATCGCTATACCGAATACGCTATCCCGGATCCCGAGGTTATATAAACCTAGGATAAATAAGCAAATAAATTATGAAGTATAGGCCAACCTGTACTTACGAACTTCCAAGAAACGAACAATCCGTATTTACGAACGTTGTAAGGACTAAAGAAATTGCGACTCCAACTCATTTCACGAACACAGAATCCCACGCTTATGAATATCTTGACAACTTAACATTAACGATTTTAACGTTATATATTCACTCATTCATCAGTAATCTGTCAGACGACAGGTCCACAGTCTCTTCCAAAACTGTTCCTCCACTTAATGCGATCTAGAGCTTTCTCCTTCAAATGAAAATATCCTCTTCTGTCCCCAAGGTCATCCAGCATCTTCTTACGTCTTCTTCCTCATCTTCTGGTCACTTCTATCCGCCCCTCTATCTTTCCTTCAATAACTTCTTTTAGAAGGCAGTTACCGCGTAAGATATGACCAATCCAATTAGCCTTCCGTTTTCTTATTTCGTGTAGGATATTCCTCTGCTCACTGACTCTAAATAACACTTCTTCATTTCTCACATAATCGGTCCAACTGATCTTCTCCATCCTTCTCCAACACCACATTTCGAAGCTTTCCAGGTGTTTCTGACAAACACATTTGTTCATATTCGTCTGTAGCCTGTGTCACAGATCGTTGTATGGCTGGACTGCTTCAAGTATTGACATTGGGACACGGCCACAAAGTTGCCGTGTGACCAGCAGGCGCCCCGCCGCGTGGCGCAGTCTCTCTTTCAAGTTGCCGACAGCCGACAATCGCTGCCCGCACAAAATCTACCTCCATCACTATCATCACAAGCACTATCCAGAAAAGAGAAGTTGTACTACTATCTCACTCTGTTGTCTGTTTCTCTTCTTCCACACCAATATTCATCTGCTTTCTCTTCTCACAATAGCCATCCCTCGAAACATTTCCTCTATCTTATTTCTTATCTCTTCATATACAAGCTACTTTATCCCCTGTCACTTTTTTTCTCTTGTGTTCCAAATCTTTTGTTCTATTTCTCATGTTTTCGTCTCTCGTTTCCCAAATTTGTCTCTCTAAATCGTAGATCAAGGTACGAAGGATCTAACAAGAAAAGGCTCCAACCGACGTAACTGAAATGACGGGTCTCCTTTTTTATTGTACCTTACGTTCTGTTCGTTGACCTCCTGCGGTCGCTTTTCTTTCTAATTTGAGCGCCATCAAGCCATTACTGTATGCCCTAATTGTGTTGACTCTTATAAGCATGCATAAAAAAGTAGCGAGTATATCAAAACAGAAAACAAGCGACTAGCGTAGTAAATACGTTGAAGTTAACGAGAGTGGAAGTACATTCGTTTGCTTGATGATATTAGTTAGAAACAGAAATGCAAAGATGTCCCATAATTTGTTTTTGTGTACTCTAACCTCACATCGGCACTAGTTACTTACAAACGTACTCATGAAGCTGAGCCCTTCTTGAGGAACCGCCAATTCTGCAGCTACTCAAGAATTTCCCTGCATTTTATGGAACCAAAAGGTTAATTACCGTGTTCACAAGAACCCTCCACTGGTCCATATCCTGAGCCATATCAATTAAATCCATACCCTCCCATCCTATCTCTCTAAGATCCATTTTAATATTGTCCATCGACCTACGCTTTGGTCTTCCCAGTGGTCTCTTTCCTTCTGGCTTTCCCACCAATATCCTATATGCATTCCTCTTCTCCCCCATTCGTGCTAGATGCCCTGCCCACCTCATCCTTCTTGACTTGATCATTCTAATTTTACTTGGCGAAGAGTACAAGTTATGAAGCTCCTTATTATGCAGTAGCCGGGCACTAGTTACAATTTAATAATTACAAAATGTGTATAGAAGGAATAATTCTTGGCTTGCTCTAATAAATATACGTAATATGTCCTTAAAAGAAGTGAATAAAACCGCCTCCTTTGTTTTATTTCTCAATTTTATTCGAAACCAGTAGAAATGTGAAATAAGCTACATATCACATCCATCGTAATAGGTATTTAATAACACTAACTCCAAGAATTTCCGTTATGTTCACCTTTGCTTATTACACTAAAAGATTTAACTTAACTCCGTGGATTTAGTCAGCAAGCGAACTATACCGATCGAGCGACCGCCGCTTTTCTGCGAAGTTAGTGCCAACTTTAGCGGATAGAGGATGTCACGTGGTCAGCGCGACGGATCCCCACGGCCGTTAATCTCGGTTTTCTAGACCGGAGCTGCTATTTCCTTGAAATAGATCCTCAGGTATCCTCACGAGGCTTAGTGGACCCCGTTCCAGACCCACTACTTCTCAGAAAATCTGGTAGCGCCGGGAATAGAACCCGGGACCTCTGGATCTATAGGCATGAGTTCCCTGCATTTAGAAAAACTAAAATGTGACAATTACTTTGCAGGACAACAGAAGCTTGCAGACGCTAGCGCCGTCTCGACAGAAGAACACACCGCGCGTCCCAGTTGCCTACAGAATATCAGACTGCGGCGAGAGGGGAAGAACATCAAACATGAAAGGCGTCGCAGTTTCTGGTACACCACATCAGAACATTCGCCACAACAAACAACGGCGTCGTGGTAAAGGTCGAGGGAGAGGCAAGGGGAAAGGCAGACGTCGCCACAACAAATCCAGGTCAAAAGTCGGAAACTCTTCTCACCAACATAGCCATATTCGACGTAACTTGGAGAAGCAAGTGTTGGTTAGAAACAAAACACTGGAATTGCTTGGTGGAGGTGCAAGAATACTTTGGGCAAACAGCGGAGGAAATAACACTATTCTTCCAGTGTCAAATGGAATTTCTTCTGATAGAAATCATTTAAACTCTACGACACTTTTGCGGAATACAAATTTGACACGGGGTTCAAGGGAGAAGGATAAGGAACGAGACAACTTGGCGGGATTACCAGTTAGTAACAGTAGTTCTGATACGGTGGTCGAGGTAAACGGAAGGACGAGGAAATCTCATGTACCTTTCCCTGCATCAACTCCAGTATCTGGTAAAAAGATTCGTGAAAATGTGACTAAGTCTCGAGGTATTTCCACATTTCAGTTTCCAGAGCGTTCAGGAAGTGTCAGTGAGTTCTCGACTAGAGCAAGTGTTGATAGTGACAGGACAAGCAGTATTCCAGTCCCCGTAAGGATTGGTATTAATGACACCGTGATGACAGAATACCAGTATGATTATGACACAATTGAGGCTCCTGGTGTAGTTGAATCTTCCGTCTGGTTTAACCCCAAGGAGTCTAGAAATGAAAACGAAAGGAGGGGCGTGTCTTCAGGTGGTGGAAGTTTAGAAACTGGGCCAATGCAAGCTGCTGTTGGTATAACCCTGGCCAGAGTCTTGGGTGTTTTGACAGGTCACGGCAGGGGCGGTGATTATGGTGAAATGGACAAAATGGAGGAGGATCCTTGTGAAAGATGGATAAGATGCAAGGATAAGCTGCAAAAGGCTTTCCTCGGCCCCCTGGGAGCACTGCCATCATGCCCATGTCGCTATCCCAGCGCGATATTCTATGATGACAAGATATGGGACCAGGGTCAAGGGAAATATTTCAGGTAATAATGTTTCTGTTGGCAACAATTTATTCCTAGAATTTATAACAGTACGTTTACCGCTCTAAACATATATTCGGATAAATTCAATGACCTATAGCATTTTAAGAATAAAGAACGAGACAATAATGAAATAAATCATTAATGATTAATGAGAAATATTCATCTATATGTAGTCAAAGAGTAAAACGTAAAGACAAGTCATGAGACAGTTATTACGAATATTGCATGACTGTTCAAGCATTCATAAAATTCAATCAGAGACTCATAGACAGTTTGGATAGTAATATCAAACGAATGAGAAACTTTGGTTCTTTTCTCAAATGTTAACACGTAAGTTAATAAGTTAATAAGGCTGATAATCTACATAGAAATTCAAGAAAAGCAGTGTGTGTGGGGGGGAGTTCTGGGTTGAAGCCCTTTTGCTCCTGTAATATTTGGATCATGGATTTTTTTTTTTTTTTTACAAAATTTAGTTCGAAAAGGAAGATGTGATTGTGACAGATTGAATCGTTATGCCGAAACGACACCTGACAGATGTTCAATCCTATCCAATATAATTTCACGTACCCAACTATCATCAGTCATTAAGGCATAAATTTGCATTTTTACGCAGATTAAATATTTCAAACGAGATTTCCAGATTAATTATAATCTGTCAGTTTAAACTGTATATAGGCCTAGCTATATAAACACCTTATATTGTTTTGTATACTTACATTTTTATTAGTATTAATTTATATAATTGTAGTTGTAAATGCATTTGTTGTAGTTGTAATTGTATTTGCATTGTATTCATT